TGTCTCATATCTGTGTACACATATACAAGGAATCTATTGTTTTTCTTACATTAGCAAGTCATTCTGGAAATATAGCTACTAATGGAAGGAACCGTGTGTAACATTTAATTGTGTATCACTTTCCACCTCAAGGATAGGGGCCTATGGAACGACGCCGATTGTAGCATGGCATTTCCCTTCGTGTGCAAGGCAAGACCTGGAGTAAAGTAAAGAAATCCAACAAGTGATCATAGACAGGGTTGACGTAGTAGTGAGTGTACGTCACCTTATTGAAGACCTTATACATGTGTGAGATGACAACATATAGCACTGAGAGCCAGAGACTTGGGACGACAGTGGCTATTGCATTTTGAGGCTGTTTTTTTCTGATAGTAACAATCTGATCTGCAGTCGTAATGATAACAGCTTTATAGCTTCATTTGTAATTATACACTTCTCACACGTACTACTCTTTTCAACCGAATTGGTTTCACGCTCCACCTGATTTACCTTCTCTTGACTAAAGAAGCCCACCAAATTCGTATTGGGTAAGGTGCTAGGAAGCAGGCAGAAGAAGTACTAGTGATGTTCTTTGTAAAGTAGTAAAATGAAGATGAAGTGGAACAATTTCACTACCTTTTTACTAATCCAAGTAGGGCAAGATTTGACTGCGTTTAAAAGTACATTTTAACGGTTGGAAAAGGATAACTTTTTTCTTACACTTTGGCTTTATATATTACACTCCAGAATGAATTACAAGTAAAGTTCCAACCATTTATCTATTTATTTATTAATTCACTATTGTTTTCACTTTCTATTGTGAACTAACGACTTGGAGGTTGAAGCAACCGTGTTTGTAGTATCGAATTTCTTATAAGGTGTGAATCCAAACATGACGATCACATGTAACACATGATTTCCAGCGTTATGTTTTAACGATTTAAATGACAGTGACCACGTTTTGATGGTCTCATATGCATAATATATGCATAGGAAGAACACTATAGTATGAAGACTAATAGCAACATTTACAGTGAAAGTTATGAAATTATAATAAGCAATAGAAGCAAAAACGTGACACATTATCGACTGTTTGAGTTGATCCATGTAAAATGAAACTTTAATTTACTGTGAAGAACCTCTACATAACTTATTCAATGAAAACTTTGTAGTAGGGATTTTCTTTAAAAGTGATTGATATTGTCAAAACTAGTGAATCAATTCATGGTAATTGCACATTGCACATTCGATATCGATGTCAACAAGAAACTTAACGTTACCTTAGAGACAGCAAAACCATAGCCGATACGTATTGAGACTTACATTTGTCCTCTGAACGGTGACTGAAACCTACCAAAATGCTAAGCTATTGAACAAATAGCAAATGTACAGTGTACTCAAGTCATGTGAACAAATAGATGTCATTAAAATGTGTGTCGTTATAGTAAACCTCGTTGAAGGCTGGCTTTTGTTACCTTGGCCAAGAAAGTTATGTTTTTGGATGTGGTGGACCTGTATGAAATCTGGGATGTTGCTATATAGGAACATTATACAAACTTTGAGTATTAGGGTGAAATTAAGTATTGAGCGAAAGTACAATGTACGTGTGTACGTTGGCAGAACACGTTATCAGAATCATGTGTGCAGTTCCGGGTACTCCCGCAGCATGTCGCTGCCCAGTTGGAAGCCTCTTACTTTACACAAACTTTCAACTTTACAATGTATGTTGTGAATCATAACGAAGTTTAAGCTTCATCTACAAACATTCGTTTCCTACAATTTTACTGCACCGAGTACCGATGTGTAACATTCTGTCAGACCTGTCTCTTGCGCGGGGCATTCGTACCATCAGACCTGTCCTTGGTGCTGAAGGTGAACTCACGTCAATTTCAAACGTTAACTGGGACGGTTCTTTTAAAACGGTAGCAAAACGTCTTTGTGAAGAAAAAACGAAAATATTCAACAGAAGAAAAAAGCACATCAACACACACAGAAGCAAACACTACCAAACTAAGAAACATTCATTTCCTCAATTTGACGTAACGTACAATAATTATTCCAACTAGTTTTAAATTCAATGTTGAATGGGGATGATCAGATAAATACTGTATTTGGTGTGGAATTTTTTTGTATGTTCTTAAATAGTGGAGTTGCTAGTTCTTTAAAAGACTCGATTTTGTGTGTGTGGAAGTGTTTTTTACTGGACCATAACATATGTATTGGTCACAGGAAGAATCCATTCTTAAAGAGAGGAGGCATTCTTCTATATTGGACAGGGCTGTGTGTTTGGGAGGTGGACAGGGCCATTTACTGCATTTGCTCCCGAGCAAATGTCGGCCTTTCTATTTGTCTTCTATATCGTGCTTTTCGCTCCTGCAACTTGTGACTGCACGACCGGGCCCCGAGGGTAATGACCTTAGCATTTACAATCCTCGGCATTACACGATCTCCGATAGTAGTCTGGGCGTTGTTCTTATCAATCCCATGCAGGATTTTCAGCAAAAGACATGTAGGCGTCCCCTTACTTTCTTGTTTTTTTGTTTTGAACCACTGGCTTTGCTCCTAAGACCGACAAAACTCTACAAAGAAACACAGACCGTTTTCATCTTTGTCTTCATTTGTCGACATTTTCTCATCTACGGAGTTTGGTCAAAGCTGGTGTGTTGTAGACAGCAGACTAATTTCCTATCCAGAGAGGCTAAAGCCTCAGTACAATACGTTGTACGTACAGGAACTTCAGTTTGAAAATCTGAGCGAGCAGGTCAGTACAGACCTGGTAGCAAGTTCTCGGAGCGATTTCTACGTCCTGTAGTCCCTGCTAGTGGTGACCACCAAGGAGACGATGTTGGTCTGGTTCAGCATAATGCTTGTCATGGGGTGCATCCCACTAAACGGTAAGCAAACATTTTTTCGCCAAAATGCATGATTTTTCATGGTTAATTTGCATTCACCGCCCTGCCACGGTGTTCATTTCTTTTAGTCTCCAAGCATTTTTAAGAATATGCTCATTGTCGTCTGTTTTGATAATTTATATTACTACCCTTTTCTTGTACTGTGGATGGAATAGATGTAACGTTATCTGCCCTGGCAAGTATTCGCACAGCGTGTAAGTTGGACCCGCCGAAGCCCAGACAAGCACGCTTTATATCCCCTTTAACTTGTCAAAACCATTATATTTTTGTGCATATTTTGCATCACACTATTCTTATCAAGTCTAAAACTTGTTTAGTGGGAAAGACCTTATTGAAGTTAGGAATAATAGAGAATATCGTAAGCGTAACTTTGCGGATGTTTCATCTCGTTCAACAGAGTATGAATTATGTACGTATTCATGCATACTAGCACGAGTATTTTGGTTTGTTTTGGGGCTGAGTCAGGCGATCAGACACCTAGGTATTGACACTGTAACAAACAAATTATATACTTCACTTAACCGCCCAAATCGTCAAATTGATGTCATACATTTGTCGTGCTAAATGATTCCATGATCATGATATGAAAAGTTGTTTTTGTGGGGGAAATATGTGACAATTGTTCTTTTGACGTGGTTGTTTGATTCGGTAAATTGTTACTGCTAATTTTTTTAAAATATTTTTCACACGCGCAGGTACTCGATCGACCTTCTCTCTCTTAAGTTTCCTTCCATTGTCATTGATTTCTCTATGTACAGATTCAAACAGATCGGACCTGGCCGCAACAACCTACACGTTCGTCGGCAGGTCACAGTTCACCAACTCCCTCTATCGAGATCAAAGCACTCTGCAGATGACGACTGATCCACCCGTCAAAGTGGGAACCGATCCACCCGTCAAAGTGGGAACCGATCCACCCGTCAAAGTGGGAACCGATCCACCCGCCAAAGCAGGTTGGTGTCTAACGTATTACCTACATCGTTCGAGGATGGTGCCACCTGCTTGATTGATTGAATGATATCAGTATCCATTCTTAATAACCAGGACGTATTGTTTTCGGTGTCTCTCGATCTGCTATGGGCGTTTGTGTGTACGTTAACGTTGATACTGGAATACAGTAGAGTAACAGGAAGTGAGGTGTGGCAATGGTGTGACCGCAGATTGACAGAAAGGTCGAATTGGAAGTCAGAATAATATCCCCGTAGGCGCTAGGTTGGAAGTGAATGGTTCAACGGTCACCTCATTTTCTGACTTCACCTTCCTGGCTCTACATACTTCAAGGAGTTTCATGTTATACGTGTCGTTTCAACAGGGTATAAGAAGTGGCGCGATGATTTCCAATGTGGCCCAAAGTTTCCTTTAGAAGACGGCAGTCCTGCTGAATGTGACCCTGACGGTGAATTCCCATGCTGCTCCCCTGAGACATGGTGCGGCAAAACTGCTGACCACTGCGACTGTCAGCATTGTGTCGACTACAGCAAGAAGCCAGCTGCACGTCTGTACCCTTCATTTGTATTTGGCCGTCATGTTTCCCCGTCTCTGTGTCTGTGAACAGATACTAGTAACTGAATAGGGGAAGCCGAAGCGCTTTCATAATTGTGTTCTGAACTTGCTATGGTCATTTTTTTCAAATGTATGACATGGCAGATACAGTAGCTCTTTTGCTAGTGAGGAAATGGCAGGTTTATCAGTTATGTCATAATATCTCCAGGTTGCCCTACTGGCTACATTGCGCATGATGGTGCATTCTACAAAGTGTACAACCAAACTAAAACCTACAATCTTTAACTTAAGGATTATGATAAATTCTTTAGGTTGCCCTTCTGCCTACATTGCGCATGATGGTGCATTCTATAAGGTGTACAACCAAAGCAAGACCTACAACCTCTAACTTATATTCTTCAGGTTGCCCTTCTGCCTACATTGCGCATGATGGTGCATTCTATAAGGTGTACAACCAAAGCAAGACCTACAACCTCTAACTTATATTCTTTAGGTTGCCCTACTGGCTACATTGCGCATGATGGTGCATTCTATAAGGTGTACAACCAAAGCAAGACCTACGCCCAGGCCAGGGAGAAGTGCGCAGCAGACGGGGGGCTCCTGGCCATGCCGAACAACAAACAGCTCGACATCTTCTTGTTTAGCCTGAAAAACTCCGTGGATAGTGATGGATATTTCTGGTTCGGCCTGAGCGATGAGCACCGTGAGGGTGAGTGGAAGTGGGCAGACGGGACTCCACACAACATCACCGCCGACTGGGGGAACTGGGGACCAAACCAGCCTGATAACTTTAAAAATGAAGACTGCGCACACTACTACTACGGGTGGTGGCCTAAATGGAATGATATAAAGTGCGATAGTGCTAATAAATTCATCTGCCAGCTGGCACAGGGTATGTCACCACAAGTTCTTTCTACTTATGGCTTCATTGCTATAGCAATCTGTAACTTCCATATTGACACTACTTCACACGTGTATATTTGATGTCTTTTGCTTTTAAAAGCCTGCATCCAATAATGCAATTCAGGTATTTATGAGAGCCCCCCCCCACACACACAGAATAAAGGTACTCCTCACGTACCTTCTTTTGGGGCTATTTCAAATGCTTCAGGTATGAAATGGTGACAAAAAGACCAAAAAAATTGCTAAGACATGGCAGTAATTGTCAATATAAGATAGAATATTTTTGTTGCACTGGATGCCTTTTAATTAATGATATCTCATTCAAATCTTCCCTGTACTTCAGATCCGTCTGGTTCAGATGAAAAATCGCGTGATGAAGCCCCATGCAACATGACTGTGCTCGAAACAGGTTATTATTTACTCTTTATTATTCTCGATTGCTTCTATTCTTCCCACAGGAATATATAAAAAACATGAACTACATACTAGTGCCTAGTTACATTGGTTGCATGTACATGTACAATGATCCTGAAACCTATTTGTTAATGATTGGATGAGACGCTGTTTGAACACAATGCCAGACTGCCGTGAATTGAAGCTAACGCCCCCAAGCATAAATCCTGACGGATTGTTGATCTTGCTCCAGTCTGCCCAGGAAAGCCTGACGGGTCTGACTACCGCGGCAACCTCTCCGTGACCGTAACTGGGAAGACCTGCCAGCGATGGGATGTCAACGTTCCACATCGTCACCGTTTCCGACCGGAAGAATATCCTGATGAGTTGGTTGAGAACTACTGCCGCAATCCAGACAGTGACGGGACCACTCTGTGGTGTTACACAACGGACCCTAGCACACGCTGGGAGTACTGCAGCAACCCGAAATGCCTTTTAAGGCCACAGCAAGTAATTTTTATGGATGACATCAGCGCGCGCATTAATTTTCGCCTGATTTTGTAAAAAAAAAAACAAGAAATTTTGTTGCCTTCTGACAGTGGTCACCATGCCGAAAATAGGCCAAAATGTCTGTTGCCATGCCGGAAGGTGGATGGCAGATAACTATAAAGAGAGGAGACAAGACAAGGCTCTGATTTTATGTTTTGTTTCTTACTTTGATGCAGTGATATGTGATGTTGGCTGTGTATAGGTGATGTTCCCATTGAATCAAAACCATTTGTACAATGATTGAGTCAAAATTTCAAAATGTAAGAACCTTGTTTTTTTCGGCCCGCCTTTTTTTTCGCCCGCTCGCATTAGATTTGGAATCTGTTGAGGATGTCATCCATAAAATTTACTTGCTGTGGCATAATATATAAAGCACGGAAGCTTACTTTTGCTTCATCTTATTTTCATCATATCAAATTCATTATGTTATATTTGATTGAAAAGTTTCATCATCAAACATCAGGGTTAACTATGTGAGTTGGTCGAGAAGTGAAATTTCCCTGCTAATGCAAGACATGCACAGTGCTGGATATTGTCAGTTTCTGTACCTTTTCTCATCTCTCTAAAACTCCCAATCCAGGGTCCATCCAGGGTATTCTCATCAGCTTATATAAAATTGTCTCCTTCTCACTTGTTTGCATTTACAATATCCTGTACCATATAGGTGCTAGCAAAGAGTGTTTCACTTGATCAGTAGACAGAAGCATAACGCAATTCAGCTACATTACCGGTACATTGTTGTTACAGTACCATATTTGGAAGATGGCGAAACATCTTGGTCCAGGCGCGACCTCTAGCGGATGTAACATTAACAAATTCTGCAGCTTCCGACCTCCTGCTGGGGAGCCAATTTGTTCAGCCACAATTTCTACTACATATACTAGTATCTTATAGCAGCCCAAGGTGTCTGGTAGAGACTAATGTATTGATGAAACCTTTTCCTGAGTATTTGAAGTAGCGATTTCTACCACAAATGGTGTCTCTTGTGTTTGACCATTGTATTGTGCTCACGTAAACCGTAGCACAACAAATTACAACAGTGTAAGTGTATAACTTAAGTTCCTTATCATTTTAATGAGGAGGGTAGTACATGTACCTATTATCCAAACAGAAATTTAGGCTTCCTCCTAAATTTTTACCTGTTCGTAGGCTTTTTATTGGGCTGTCTTTTTTGTACTTTTTTTGGCAGCCAAACGCGTACGGGTGGCGTATGGAATACAGACATGTCAATACTAGTATCTTGGTTGTCCGTCGATGTCGACGAAGACTTCTTGATACGCACTGTCTTGCAGCCACCAAAAAACCTGCTTGAATATTAGGTACAAGTAGTATCAGCAGGAACACAGCGTTTTGTTTCCTTTAGGCGAACCTTAAAGTTGTAAACTTTTAATCTTAAATATTACTGAAGGCAACATGTGTCTTCTTTATTTTGAGCTGAGATTTTTGTATGTCTATTATATACATGTATATCATATCTATAGGTGTGCAGCCTGAATTTTGACAGATTAGCTGTTACGTTTCTCATGTACAAGACGAGAAGAATGATGCAGCAGAGAATTTCCTAGTAACACATTTAAGAGAATCCAATGCAATTTTAGGGCGTCAAAACTTGATTTTAAAAGTCAATTTTCTGGTTATTCTGGTACTATATAGAAAAATAAAGAGACGCTAGAATATTTTATTTGCCGCCTTCAAATTGCACTGGGGCATCTAACAGTTTGTTTCAAATCCTTTTATTTTGGACAATAACAGAACAGAAAGATTGACCAGTTGCCAGCAAGAACCGACCGTTATAGAAAGAGCTCCATCCCATACTTTGTCACACTGTTGAACAACTCTGTATAGTAGGGTATCCGTAGAGTCCTTTTGTGCTTACAGGTTGAATTCATTGTCCTTGCATTTAGTGTTATTGTATATACTTTACTAGTTTTTAAAAGTAAATAAGCTAGGGTTTTAAACAGTCGCGGCATCATGATTTTAATAAGTAATATGTAGTATGTGCACGCAATTCAGCCTGTGGCTGCGATGTGAAACATATCAATTGTACTGTTTATTGTATTTGTGAAATAAACCAATATAATACTACCCTAAAATGTACATGACTGCCACTGGCTGGCAGTGCGATCTCTCTCTCTCTCTCTCTCT